ATCCTTCCAGAATTCCGGAATTTCGCAATTCTTTTGCTTGAATCCTTCTGGAACTCCAGAATCTCGCAATTCTTTTGCTTAAATCCTTCTGGAATTCCGAAATCTCGCAATTCTTTTGCTTGAATCCTTCCGGAATTCCGGAATTCTGTAATCCTTTTGCTCAAATCCTTCTGGAATTCCGAAATTCCGCAATTCTTTTGCTTGAACCATTCCAGAATTCCAGAATTTCGCAATTCTTTTGCTCAAACCCTTCTGGAATTCCGGAATCTCGCAATCCTTTTGTTCAAATCATTAACCTATTATTGAATTCGTGCAAGTAAGCCGTTGGATTGAAATAAAAGTACAAATAACAGCTAAATTGTGGCTGATTAACCGAAAGTTTGTACGATAAGGTGGAAAAGAATAAAAGTCTTGAATATATAAATTAGTGTTAAGACAAGAAAGGCAAGAAATCAAGACAGAAAAGACAAGAAAGGATAAGCCTAGAATTCTGAACACTCAAACTATCACAAATGGCCGATAAAGAACCCACAATTTGCAATCAATTTTGTTATTTTTGAGGTTAAACATTGAAAATCCTGGTAGAAAACCAAGCTTTTCACTTGGCTTCACTCTAAACATTTGAATTCCGGCATTAGAGCTTTTAAAACAACAGTAAACAACAGTAAACTTACTGTTTTTCTACAAATTTACTTACTGTTTTTGATTCGTTTCTTTTCACGTATAGTTCAAGAACATTTTTCAATGAGAACCACTCTTTAATCTCCAAAAAACCTAATTCAATCGTTTTACGGGAAACGAGAAAAATAGGCGAGCTTAAATTTTGAAGTTTTGAAAGTTGGACAAGCAAAGAATAGCCTATTCCTTTCAGAAATGTTTCTAGCTCTAGAGCCGTAAACAAGGCCAGGCTCGTTCAGAGCTCAAAAGTCAGATCAACGCTCGGCTCCATCTGTGACTGAGCCAGAGAATTTTGATAAATAACTTCCTCAATCAATAACATGCTCAATCAATTGCTTGCTCAATCAATAGATTGCTCAATCAAAGTTATTGACAAAAACCTATATAAAATCGGACTACAAGTTGGCCTCCTCCCCTCCGCCCCTCCGCACCTACGCCCTACGCCCTCCGCACCTACGCCCCTCCGCCTCCGCGCCTCCTCCCCTCCGCCCCTCCGCCCCTACGCTCCTACGCCCTCCGCCCCTCCGTCCTTACGCCCCTAGGCCCCTCCTACCCTCCGTCCTTACGCCCCTACGCCCCTCTTCCCCTTCCCCTCCGCCCTCCGCCCTCCGCATCTACGCCCCTCCGCACCTACGTCCCTCCGCCCCTCTTACCCTCCGTCCTTACGCCCCTCCGCCCTCCTCCTCCTCCTCCTCCTCCCCCCGCCCGTCATCCGTAAAGAACCATGAAAACATACCCTTTCCGTTGCACTAGCTTGAATCAACTTCAAAATCAAAATTCAAAATCAAATCAATCAAAACTTGCAAGTTTTTCAGTCACTCGTCGCTTTGTGCTGCGTAATCGCTCCCTATTCTCTTCTCGTTTTGGCTTTTCTCAATATTTTCGAATCCGATTTTCTATTAGAAGGTTTCGTTTACAGAAAGAGCTTTTGAATGTCAGAAAAAAAGCTTTTTAATTCTTGTAATTCGATTTCAGTGGTGGCTATGGTTCCTTTATGGACGAATTTCCACGCTCTAATCAACAGCTCTGTCGTCATTTTCGCCACCCGAAGCTATCGACAATTTCTCAAAAGTTTTCTCAAGAACTTTCTCAAGAAATTCCCCAAAAATCTCTTCAAAACCCTTCAAAAGACTTCGAAAATTTTACATTTAAAGGCTTATTTATAAATAAAATAAATCGATTTTAAAATTTTGCTTACTTTGTTTATTTTGCGGATTAATGGCTACAATAACACTAAAAAAAAATGTATTTTTGTTTACAAAAAAGTCACAATTTAAGCCGTTCACGACTCTAAAAATGAAAAATTAATAGAATTTACGTGAGGAAATGTTTGTTCTCCAAAGCAATATTGATATTGATTCTTTGGGGAAAGGGAAAATCATTAGATGTTATTTTTTATGAGTTCATGAAACTTTTGTCAAACTTTTAATCGATGAAATATCAGCCAGCTAGATTAGATTAAGTACAATTTGTTAGTATCTTCGTTTACCGTTTTAGAAGCGGTGAATCGATTAAAATCAATCAAAATCAATCAAAATCGCTCAAAATCAATCAAAATCGATCCAAATCAATCCAAATCAATCAAAATCAGTCAAAATCAATCAAAATCAGTCAAAATCGCTCAAAATCGATCCAAATCGATCCAAATCAATCAAAATCAATCAAAATCAATCAAAATCAATCAAAATCAATCAAAATCAATCAAAATCAATCAAAATCAATCAAAATCAGTCAAAATCGCTCAAAATCGATCCAAATCGATCCAAATCGATCCAAATCAATCTAAATCGCTCAAAATCGATCCAAATCGATCCAAATCAATCAAAATCAATCAAAATCGATCCAAATCGATCCAAATCAATCCAAATCAATCAAAATCAGTCAAAATCAATCAAAATCAATCAAAATCAGTCAAAATCGCTCAAAATCGATCCAAATCGATCCAAATCGATCCAAATCAATCCAAATCAATCAAAATCAGTCAAAATCAGTCAAAATCAATCAAAAATCAGTCAAAATCGCTCAAAATCGATCCAAATCGATCCAAATCAATCCAAATCAATCAAAATCAATCAAAATCGATCCAAATCAATCAAAAATCAGTCAAAATCGCTCAAAATCGATCAAAATCGATCCAAATCAATCCAAATCAATCAAAATCAATCAAAATCAGTCAAAATCAATCAAAAATCAGTCAAAATCGCTCAAAATCGATCAAAATCGATCCAAATCAATCCAAATCAATCAAAATCAATCAAAATCAGTCAAAATCAATCAAAAATCAGTCAAAATCGCTCAAAATCGATCCAAATCGATCCAAATCAATCAAAATCAATCAAAATCGATCCAAATCAATCCAAATCAATCAAAATCAGTCAAAATCAATCAAAATCAGTCAAAATCGCTCAAAATCGATCCAAATCGATCCAAATCAATCAAAATCAATCAAAATCGATCCAAATCAATCAAAATCAATCAAAATCAATCAAAATAAAACAATTTCTTTTATTGAAATGCTCTTTTTTTCTAGAAAATGCATGTGTTTTAAAAAAGGGTTTGTTTTGAAAAATTTTAAGAGGTGAGAAGACAAGTTGTGAATTAAGAGATCCAGTTATGCGATTTAATCCCTTTTCTACAGAAAAGAAAGAAATACATTTCCAGTTTTAAGCACTAAGTAAAAACTTTATCGAAAAATTTTAACTTCTTTAATTGCCTTGAAAAACTGACGTTTTTTTGTTGATTCCATGAAATGTTGAGTCTCTAAAAAAGTTGTTTTTTCACTTTTCTAAAGTTCTAAAACTTCAAAAAAGATTTCAAAAAAGTGTTTTCTTGAAGAATTTTGATAGTCTTTCTTACTTATGTTTTATCAACCAATTTACCGCACCCCTTATCTCACCGATCATTCAAATGCACCACCGTATCTCCTATATTCTCCATATCAACCACAACCAGGCTCTATTCTCAATGAAGAACCTTATCAGCCTCATAACCGGAGATGTACGGTAAGTGTTTCGAAAAAGAATCTTCTATTGTTTATAAGAAACAAGCCTGAAATATCTGGAGAACGGCTTAGCATGTCTTTAATTGATCTGGTCAGTTTTTAACTTAACTCTGCCTTGTCCAGAGCGAATACTGGACCTGGACCTGGACAGGTCCAGTCTGCCTTGTTCAGGATCCAATCCTGGCCCTGGACCTGAACAGGTCGAAGTCTGCCTTGTCCAGAGCCAATACTGGATCTGGGCCTGAACTGGTCCAGTCTGCCTTGTTCAGGATCCAATCCTGGCCCTGGACCTGAACAGGTCGAAGTCTGCCTTGTCCAGAGCCAATACTGGATCTGGGCCTGAACTGGTCCAGTCTGCCTTGTTCAGGATCCAATCCTGGCCCTGGACCTGAACAGGTCGAAGTCTGCCTTGTCCAGAGCCAATACTGGATCTGGGCCTGAACTGGTCAAAGTCTGCCTTCTCCTACGCTAACTTGACCAAGATTTGACTTTATTTGATTTCTAGCCTTGTTCTGGCTGAATCTGGTCTGGATCAAGATCAATAAACTTGTCCACGGACTGATTCAATGAAATCAATGAAACTTTTATGAGCTGAACCTGAGCTTAACCTGGTAAATGATTCTGGTTCTGATTCTGTTCTGAACTGGTTCAACTGGTTCAGCCTTGAACCTAGTTCAGCCTCAAATTCCTTGGTTGGTCTGATCCTAAGTCTACAAACCTATTCAATACTGACCTGAAAAAGACTGGAAACACGCCAAGCTCTAGTTCAGGCTAGTTTAACAATTCCGAACCTATTCTAGCCCTAGTTCAGCTCTAGTTCTGATTCAGATAAAGGCCAAAATCATTCTTTTTTCAATTCTTCAAAGCAATAGTAGAAATTTTCAGAGAAAAACCGTCCTCTTCATCTGCTGCTTCATTTTTTTCATCATTCCTTCAATAGTTTTCTTTTTTTTGCATTTCATAAAAGGATAATCTTTAAAAAATAAAGGATTTAACCGATTTTCAACAAAAATTTACACAATTCTTGAAAGTTTTAAGACAAAAAAACCAATAAAGCTATAATTTTCAAGTAGAAATTTCGATGTAAACAGTAAAAAAATCTTTCTTATTCCTTAAATTTTGTAAATAAACCCGTTGTTTGCACAAAATTTGCCCTTTTTTTTGAGAGAAAAGAGAACTTTTTGAGGTGAAAAGAGATAAGAAAAAGAGAAAGAATAAATAAACAATTTTTCTCTTTTAAGTCAACATATTTTCGATTTGAATCGGCAGAAGCTTTGAGTTTTATTTCGTTTTCATTTCAAGCTATTGAACTTCTAAAAAAATGACGACTGTGCTGAATATTGAGACGATTGGCGAGGCGAGACCAATTCCAACGTTTGATCTCAACTATGACAAGACAAGAACGAAATCTGTTTGCTATACAATTCCAGAAACCGAAAGCATTGTCTCAGAGCCGAATCTCGCTCAAATAAGGGTTTGTTTAGTTGTTATGATCCGGTTATACCTATGACCCGAGACATACCCATGACTCGGGTCATAACAACATCGCATTTCCATTTAAGCCCCTAAGCCTGAGCCTCAACCTAAGCCTGAGTCTGAGCCTAAGCCTAATCCTAAGCCTGAGCCTAAACCTAAGCCTAAACCTAAGCCTGAGCGTAAACCTAAGCCTAAGTTTAAACCTAAACCTAAGCCTGAGCCTGAGCCTGAGCCTAAGCCTAAGCCTGAGCGTAAACCTAAGCCTGAGCCTGAGCCTGAGCCTAAGCCTGAGCCTAGACCTAAGCCTGAGCGTAAACCTAAGCCTGAGCCTGAGCCTGAGCCTAAGCCTGAGCCTAGACCTAAGCCTGAGCCTAGACCTAAGCCTGAGCGTAAACCTAAGCCTGAGCCTGAGCCTGAGCCTAAGCCTAAACCTAAACCTAAGCCTGAGCGTAAACCTAAGCCTAAGTTTAAACCTACAGCGACAAAAAAAACCCGAAAACTGATTTCTCGAGGTGTTCTTTGTGGAGCCGCGCAATCGCTCGCCATCCGGCAAACCGCTTTGGTATAAGGGGCTTTTCTTTTGGAATCCTTATAGAGAAAGGCCGGTTTTCCAGTTGTTCGGCGTCATTATGTCCAAGCTTTAGACCTGAATTTAGACCTGAATTTAGACCTGAATTTTGGCCTTAAGTTTGGCCTTAAGTTTAGCCTTAATTTAGACTTTGATTTAGGCTTTGATTTAGTCTATATTTTGAATTTTGCCTCCTGTAAAATGTAAACTAAATGAGAGAAATTGAAAACGAAAAAACCATTGCAGAATACGATATTTCAGAGTCGCCGCTGCTGGAACTTCTGGCTTTTCGTTTACGTGGTGATCACAATCGGCATTCTCGGACTTTTCGGATACATTTTGATTCGAGCCACTCATCTCTTCGCCTACAGTAATCTACATTTGTACGATTGATTAGTTTTGTGTTATCAAGAATGTATGCACATATTTTGTATCTAAATTTGTAAATAAACAATCAACGCTTTAGCACACGTTCATTTAAAAGAGTCTTGTAAAGTCTTGATCTTCTGCAGTATCCGGATCAAATATATATATATAATATTTGAATCTTTGAACCTTATTAGATTATAATGATCTAGAATAGGGAAAGATCCGGTCAAATTGAAGCCTGGAATTGACCTGGCTTGGCTTACATGGATTAGGTTAATGTTTTGGTCGCCCTGGTCACCTGATCCTGGTCCTGGTCTGATCCTGGTGGCCTTGGTCACCTGATCCTGGTCCTGGTCTGGTCCTGGTGGCCTTGGTCACCTGATCCTGGTGCTGGTCTGGCCCTGGTGGCCCTGGTCACCTGATCCTGGTTCTGGTCTGGTCCTGGTGGCCCTGGTCACCTGGTCCCGGTCTGGTCCCGGCCGCCCTGATCTAATCCAATAGATCTAATTCTCAATTTATAACTCATTCTTTCATAGCAAAGATCAACATCTACTGCTTGTGAGAAGTCGAAGTTAAAATGAGAAATCTAGAGTCTAGAGGCAAGGCTTGGCAATGATAGTCAGTTCTACGGATATCATAATGATCAGTAGCCATATCAGTATCAGTCTAGTACTTACAGTTTCTTGGCAATCTTTCACTGACTTGCTTGAACGCTCCTTATCTTACAATAGATCCAAAACTGCCGCTTTCTTGTTTACCGATTGCGGTCATTAACGGTTTTGATAATGCTCTGGTTGGTCTACCACATGACCTGACCTACATCATTTGTTATCCAATAGTTTATCCACTCATTATCAATGTACTGACAGATCTTACCAACTTTCAAGCGCATCAACCAGCTACTTTTTATGTAAAAGTATCAATTCTTAATTCTTAAATGATTATCTTATCAAAAACAGATTTTTTAAAGAATAGAAACCAAAGAAAAAGAAAAAATTCACAAAAACATCATTTGAATCATTGTTTTTTTGAGGAAACCTTTAAAAACAACGCTTGTTTTTCCTTTTGAGCAAGCCTAGTTTCGAAATTTTGATCAATCAAAATAAACAGGTTGTAAAAAGTGATAAGAATCTTGAAGTTTCAAGTCAATGTGAATCCTCAAATGATTCAAACCCTGTCTCTGCAGTGTGTGAGAGAATACCGATGGGGGCAATGATTATTAGATATTTATTCCGAATCTAGCACAATACTAATCTAACGAGAAAATATAAAAGAATAGAATCAATCGTTGGTTCAGTGTTTCATAGCAATACGAAGAGCAATACCAAGAGACAATACAAAGTGAGCTCCGTCCCTTTTAAACGTCCCTTTTATCATAAAAAGGATCTTTTAGAGGCGGGACAAGAGAATCAGATATTCAAATCAAAACATTAAATAAGATTTCACAGAAAAGAGCCACTTTTCTGTGAAAATGTCACTTCACGGCATTTAATGTCACTTAACGGTCGCAAATTTGAAGTATACTTGGGAGAATTCACTCTACACGAACCGTGAATGAAAATTTTCTTTTAGAATTTGAAGGAGGCATTTAACAAGGATTCAAACAAGTGTAAGTTGATCCAGAGTTGGAGGATTCAACACTGGATCTGGACCTGAACAGGTCGAAGTCTGCCTTCTCCAGGATCCAAACCTGGATCTAGGCCTGAACTGGTCGAAGTCTGCCTTGTCCAGGATCCAACTCTGGACCTGGACCTGAACTGGTCGAAGTCTGCCTTGTCCAGGATCCAACTCTGGACCTGGACCTGAACAGGTCGAAGTCTGGCTTGTCCAGGATCCAACTCTGGATCTGGGCTTGAACTGGTCAAAGTTGGTCTTGTCCGGGATCCAAACCTGGACCTGGACCTGAACAGATCGAAATCTGCCTTCTCCAGGATCCAAACCTAGACCTGGACCTGAACAGGTCGAAGTCTGCCTTCTCCAGGATCCAAACCTGGATCTAGGCCTGAACTGGTCGAAGTCTGCCTTGTCCAGGATCCAACTCTGGACCTGGACCTGAACAGGTCGAAGTCTGCCTTGTCCAGGATCCAACTCTGGACCTGGACCTGAACAGGTCGAAGTCTGCCTTGTCCAGGATCCAACTCTGGACCTGGACCTGAACAGGTCGAAGTCTGGCTTGTCCAGGATCCAACTCTGGATCTGAACAGGTCGAAGTCTGCCAAGTGTTTATCTATATAAGGCAATCTTTCTTTTACTCTTTTTCGCCCATTCTATGAGCTTGTATCCCAAATGTCTGACAGAGGACTCGAACCCTCGGGGTCCAAAAACGCATGCGCTCGGCAGCCGAGCCCACTAACCACCACACCAACAAGGTCGTTGACGGAAGACAGTGCGTCGCACTCTTAAAGACACCCCAAAAACTTGTATGCCATAAATCTCGCGATAGAGAAGCGTTTGGCAAAAACTGATTGCAGATTCGGAATCAGCGTGAAAAACGGCATTAGATAGGCTTTTTCTCGAGTCAAAACCATGATAAATTAACAACATTCCTTAGTTTAAACATTTTGAACAACTAATCACACTTTAAACGGCTATAACTTTGTCTAGGGACAATAGTATGCTTAACTATTGATATCATTGAATAAAGGACATTTCAGGCTTTCAAATGATACTAAATAGAGCTTGATTGGATAATTCGGTCAAAAGAAATCAGCCCAAGAAAAATGGCGATACAACACCCGGGGGCTCAGGGTTGTCTCCGATTTTCTTGAACGGATTTTCCGGGACTCGATTGTCCAATCAAGCTTTATTTGGTATCATTTGAAAGCTTAAAATGTCCTCTATCATTGAATAAAAGACATTTTAGGCTTTCAAATGATACTAAATAGAGCTTGATTGATAAGCCAGCGGAGGAAATCAAAGCCAATTCAAAACAAGAGCCCCAAAAACTTGTATGCCATAAATCTCGCGATAGAGGAGCGTTTGGCGAAAACTGATTGTAGATTCGGAATCAGCGTGAAAAACTGCATTAGATAGGCTATTTTCTTGAGTCAAAACCATGATAAGTTAACAACATTCCCTACTAAGCTTGAAGATGAGCATTTTTCCCTTTATTCTTCATTCATTTTACTTTCTGAATTGTTCGAATAAATTTATAATTGTCTAATCACATTGAAAAAGTATATCAAACCAAGCACGCACATCAAAGCCGATTATTTCTTACAAAAACCAACAGTTCAATCGGGTCAACTCTCTAAATTTTCGTTCCGCTTCAAGAGGAACGAGAAATTTTTGGTTTACTGCCATTTTTGGCAGGTTTACTGCCATTTTTCCTCAGGTACAAATCATCAACTTTTTGCCGAACTTGAGAACTCTCGATCTTTTAGTGGAAAAGGAAGAATTATGCAAAATCAAAGCGCAAAAAAGAACATAAGAACACTGACTTTTGTGCTCTTACAATTTTTTGCATAATCTTTTCCTCTCAATATATAAAAGGATCATCATTGGCTTACAAAGTCAGCTCTTTGTCTAGTCGAGTAGTCTATCAGCTTTTTACAAATGCGGTTGACTAGCTTCCTTCTCTTCTTTGTCGTCAAAGCTTTCGCTCTTCCCGGGAACCGCTGGGGAAAGCTGACGGCAGCTCAAGTTGAAGAGTTTAAAGAGGTAAATTCAAATGAATGATGATTTATTATCTATTTCAATTACTAATTACTAAAAAGTCATTGATTTAAATAACTTAGTCGCTTGGTCGCACTGATGCCGACAAATTTCACGATGCTCTGTTGAGAGCCCGAGAAACAGCTCGATTTGCCTCATCAGCTCAATCAGATGTTCAAATTAAAGAATTCAACGAGGCTGTAAAGGTTCGTAGAAGCTTTCAGAAGTGAACCTGTGTAAAGGTTCACTTCTAAAAGCATTTATAATGCTTTTATAATGCTTTTAGAAGTGAGCTTTTAGAGTACGGAATTTATAATGCTTGTTTGCTTTCTTGGAAATCCGTTTTTCTAAAAAAATTCTACGAAAAGTACAGTTTTATACATTTTCTGAAAGCTAAAATCTTTCTCTATTAAATGGTAGTAAAACAGTCTTATTTTAATGATTCCTTGTTGATTTGTGATGTTTACAAGCCGACTAGACCGGCTTTGTGATGTTTACAAGTCGACTAGACCGGCTTTGTGATGTTTACAAGTCGACTAGACCGACTTTGTGATGTTTACAAGCCGACTAGACCGGCTTTGTGATGTTTACAAGTCGACTAGACCGGCTTTGTGATGTTTACAAGCCGACTAGACCGGCTTTGTGATGTTTACAAGCCGACTAGACCGGGCAAGGCATGGCACAAGGTTCCTTTGACACTTTGACAAGCTTGGAAAGTTTTTAAAGTGCTTGGCGAACAAAAACTTTTCACAATTCACATTCTGATAATGTTTTTAAATATACATAGATTGTAAAAAATGAGTTTTGAACGGCATATTGATCTCAATTTAACTAATAACTTTATCTAATAACTAATAATTTCAACTTTATCAAAATTCTTCATTAGTAAAAGAAAAACTTAGCTTGTAAACATCATAACTCAAAAAAGCATCTTTAAAATAGTATTAGATTGACAAATTAATAATGGCGCGTTTATGTAACAAATCATCAAAAAAAACACAAAAGAAGAGCTTTCAATTTGAAAGGTATTCTCCATTAGTATCTATGACTTCTTCCCATCTTCTGCGCAAATCCTGGATCCCTCGAAGAACTTGAGAGTTTTTGAGGCGAAGTAGTCATTTACTGCTTTTATGAATGACTATTTCGTGAATGACGTCATTCCTGAGCATAATCATCGAACTTTTCTCCCTCCAAAAAGTGCTTCAGCGAACCGAAAAAAAATAATCTGAAGGAGCCAGGGACTCCTTGGTCTCCAGGGGGTCCATCGCGTCCAGGGGCTCCAGGGGCACCAGGGAGTCCACCAGGGCAACGCTTGCAACCAGATCCCTGAACAAGTTCTGTAAAGTAATTATAGTTTTCTTACATCATCGTGTCCTTGTGGGGCTTGTCCGGGTGCTCCGGGCTCTCCACGGCCTCCAGGTGATCCAGGATATCCGTTCTCTCCGGGGCTTCCAGGGGGCCCTGGTGGTTCAGCGGGGCAGCTATTGTATGCGTCGCAAGAGCATTGTCCTCCGTATCCGCCACCTCCGCCACCGCCACCCGGAGAGTAAGGTGTGAGGGGCAGCACTTTCCAGCCAAGTTCCTCGATTTTCTTATAAGTGATCTTTACAGTGTGAGGTTTTGCATTGCAAAAATCTGACTCTCTCTTGAGCCCCAATTTCTTCAAAGACTCATTAACTCTCATTAATTGCTTCAAATAAAGATCAGCATCGACGGTTTGGTCAGGCTTCAGCACTTCATAATGCACCAATCCCTTGAAGTTCCACCAGCAACAGAGCATTATCTTCTTCCCATGGATATCCGGTTTGGATATCCATGGTTTGCGGGGTCTGCCCAGTAGATAGCCATTGATTTTTGCGTTTAACGTTCTCGTTCAAAGACTCGTTAACTCTTATTAATTGCTTCGATTAAAGATCAGCATCGACGGTTTGGCCAGTTTGGCCTAAGCCTAAGCCTAAGCCTAAGCCTGAGCACACAGACCATTTTCAAGTTGCCAACCTAATACAATTTTACAAACAATAGATAAAGAAACATTTGAGCTTTTAGAAAATGTATAAAACTCTGTAGTTTTCATGGAAATTTTTCTCAGGAAAACAGTTTTATGAAATCGCAACAATATGCTTCTTTTAAAGCTAATTAGAAAATTCAGCTTTACAAAATTCCCTTTTTAGGTAATCTCGACAAAAACATTATCGAAAAAGAGCGGCGGTGGTGTGTCAAAGGTTGACTCGTTACTGTGACTTTGAAAACACTTACAGCTTTAGGTCAACATCAACAGTGGAATAGCAGAGCAGCTGTACAAAGGCGATATGATTCTCACAAAGTATGCATAACCCTTAAAAGCTTTTTATTAAGTAATTTAGTGAACAAATTGATATCCTTCTTCCGTCAGATGACTCAAATGGTAACAAATTTAATATCTATTTGGTTTGGTTCAGCCTTGGTTCAGATTTGGTTCAGATTTGGTTCAGATTTGATTCAGATTTGGTTCAGATTTGATTCAGCCTTGGTTCAGCCTTGGTTCAGCCTTGGTTCAGCCTTGGCTCAGATTTAGTTCAGATTTGGTTCAGATTTGATTCAGATTGGGTTCAGATTGATGAATTTTGCTACAATTTCAGCGACAGGACGAAAGAAACGTCAAGCACAAGCGCCAGCTCTTTTATGGGAAAATGATGGAACGACAAAGGTTTACTACGAGTTTGCTCCGTCGCTTACCCCTGCTGCAAAAGCGGCCGCTCAAGCTGGCATCAATTTTTGGCACAAATCAACTTGCATTGATTTTGTTCAATCAACCACTGCAACGTGAGTTCTTGAGACACAATTAAGTCCTTTCTGAGCCCAAACTTCGCAAGAAACAGACAAGATCTCAATTAGATTAGACCTTTTCACAAAAAACACTTCTAAATCTAGTTGATTAATATAATCTAGCGATTCAAATCTTCAATTCAAATCTGATTCAATTTTTCTTCTCATTGTAATCATTTTTGAATCGTGTTAAACTTCTTGTAAAGCTAAAGTAAAGCTTTTTAAGGTTCATTTTTCATTCCAGAAATCGAATCAAGTTCTTCCGAGGAAGCGGCTGTTTTTCGAATGTGGGAATGACTGGTGGTGTGCAAACGCTTTCACTTGGAGATGGTTGTGAAACGGTGAGGAAGAAAGCTTCTCAATATCATGTAGAATTTGAAAAGACAAGTAAAATGATGTAAATACATCTTGTAGATTTTGAAAAGACAAGTAAAATGATGTAAATATTAAGTGCTTTTCACCATTGTAAACACAACTTTTGCTAGGTAGCTAAGACGTTTTCAAAAGCCTTTTTGCAATAACTTGGTGGTCTAGTGATTAGTTGCAATGGTTAGTGGTTGGTGTTAGTGCAATGGCTAGTGATTAGTTGCAATGGTTTATCAAGCGTAGGATCAGGGTTTAATCTTTTTTTAGCTTCTTTGTGAGCAATTGAAGCAATTGAGGCAAGCAAGCTATTGAAGCAAGCTATTGAAGGAAGCTATTGAAGCAAGCTATTGAGGCAAGCAAGCTATTGAAGCAAGCTATTGAAGGAAGCTATTGAAGCAAGCTATTGAGGCAAGCAAGCTATTGAAGCAAGCTATTGAAGGAAGCTATTGAAGCAAGCTATTGAGGCAAGCTATTGAAGCATTGAACCTCTAATCTCAAGCTATTGAACCTCTAGTCTCAAGAGAAAGGTAATAATATTGAAATAGCAGAGAGCAAAGACATCAAAGATTTCTTCAGCATTAAAATCTATTAGTTTAGATCCAGCATTAGTGATATACTTAGATTTGTAAAGATTTTTAATATCAGATCGGTCATTCGACTCACGAGATCGGACACGCGCTCGGTTTCTGGCATACGCAGTCACGATGGGATCGTGACACTTATCTGAATGTGTATTTTGCGAAAATTCCCGCCGAATGGAGAGATCAATTCACAAAAGAGACGAAAACAACCAATGCCAACTATGGAATGGTTTTTGTCTAGTTTATTTTCTTTTAAACTCCCCTTTAGCCTCATGATTATGGCAGTGTGATGCACTATGATGGAAATGAGCTTTCACCAAATGGACAAACCTACATGGTTACTAAGGTTAGTTCTTGATTCACTTCACAGCAATCAATCTCTGTTTAAGGCCACTTCATATCAAGACAATATGGGCTCCTATATTGTTGGTTTTTACGATGTAGCTATGATGAACACTCATTATAAATGCACCGGTGAGAATGGAATTCTAGCAACTGACTTCTGCGCTTCTAACTCAGCGAGAATTCAATGAATCTATATGAAATTTTTGGAGATGATTTTTGAGAATATCTACTGTAGCCAAGCCAATTTTCTAACTTATTGATCATTCTAGAATCTTCATATGATCTTACAAAGTTAAGAGTCGCTGTACACTTGGCGAAGAAGTCAATTTAAGGCTTTTGAAAGCCGTTTTGGAAGTTATTTAATGAGAAATTGTTTTTTTTTCTTAAAATTTGACAAATTCCTTATGTTTTTTGATAAAAAAACATCAAAACAAGAAAAAAAAAATCGATAATATCCTTTCAAAAAAGATTGATTGGATTTTTTTTCTTTAATTTTCAAGTTCTCATATTTTTTTAGGAAATTTAAATCAAATTCACCGGGAAAAACGAATTTTTATAAAGCTTTCAATCTGTTTAAACCCTTTTTTTCTTCTTTAATCTGATTATATTTATTAAATAAGTTTAAAAACGGCTCTCAAAAGCCTTAGAATGGATTCTTCGCCAGGTGCACAGCGACTCTCAACTTTGTAAGATCATATAAAGATTCTAGAATCATCAATGAGTTCGAAAATTGACTTGGCTAGAGAAGACATACTCAAAAATCATCTCCAAAAATTTCATATAGATTCATTGAGTTCTTGCTGAGCTAGAGGCGCAGAAGTGCGTCGCTAAAAGTCGCGATCATTCTGTAGAGTTTTATTTGATTTGTTTATGATATTTAGCTAAATGCACAACAGGAGCCACTTGTCTGAATGGAGGAATCCGGAACTCGCGAGCTTGTAACACGTGTCTTTGCCCAGCTGGATGGAGTGGCGCCACGTGTAACACAAGGGTGAGCTGTTCGCTGATCCAACACGGGAAATCAATAGTCTTTAGCTAACAATCCTAGCTTCTAGTTTTTTATTTTAGTTCTAGCTAGCTCTGGATCTAGCTCTGGGTTCTAACTAGCTCTGGATCTAGCTCTGAGTTCTAACTAGCTCTGGATCTAGCTCTGGGTTCTAGCTAGCTCTGGATCTAGCTCTGGGTTCTAGCTAGCTCTTCTAGCTCCGGATTAAAACTGAGGATTTATAGCCAACCGGTTGCGGCTCATCGTTGACTGCTAAAGCAGCCGTTCAATCAATTACTATTGGTGCTGGAACTGCTGGAGTAAATCTTGTCGACTTCACCACATGCAATTACCTGATAACGGTATGAAACGAGTGAAATGAGACGTTTAAGTGACACTTTTCTAAGTCAAAATTTTATGGAGAATCGAAAGTTGCCATTTACGTGACGATCTAAGCAACTTTTCTTAAGAAAATGCTTAAGAATAGTCGCGGGCTTGTTTATTGTGATTTAGCAAGGCCCCAAGTCCATCCAGGCAGGGAAAACTGCTTTTAAAAAATGATTTTATGATTTAAACTTATACTAACGATATTAAATTAAATATATTAGAAAATAAGGTTTTTAAGAAGCGAATTTTCGATGAAATTAAAAAAGGATGACTAGAGAATAAGTGGAATTTTGTAAAAAATGATTTTTTGACGCGCCACGCAGTTTAATCCTTTAAATTAACTTTAAATTAACTATAAATTAACTTTAAATTAACTATAAATTAACTTTAAATTAACTATAAATTAACTTTAGATTCGGAAAATTTACCTATTTTTACCCTAGAACATTGAGTTTTCTAAACTCAAATTTAATTTTTTAAAAATTTCCGATAGGATCCTTTTAAAACTTTGCTCTGACATTTTTTCAATTTTGCAATTACGATTTCCCGTTGTGAAATCGATTGAAAATCCCTTATTTTTAAGTTATTTCTTTGATTTATTACTTATTTTATAGCAAAAACTCTTTTTTTTAGCGTTTTTTGTGTTTTTCTTAGCACCAACCCTTTGATTTTGACTATTTTAACTACCATTCGATGCAGAATCAAATTTCGCGTCGAATGATACCAAAACCAACTCAAAATCTAATATCCACGAAAAGTTGTTGACTAAAAACGTAAAGCTCGCTCATTATGGGCGGGGTTTAACGTTTTGCCGTTGGCAATTCAGGTTTTTTGTGTTTTTCTTAGCATCAAGTCTTCAATTTTGTCTATTTTAACGATCATTCGATGCAGAATCAAATTTCGCGTCGAATGATACCAAAACCAACTCAAAATATAATATCCACCAAAAGTTGTTGGCTAAAAACCTAAACCTCACTCATTATAAGAAATTTTCGAAATGGCCGCCATCGGCCTTAATACAAGCGTCGATTCTTTTGGGTAATGGGGCAACGGTGCGGCGCAAGGAAGCTAAATCGTCCCATCCCTTGATAAGAGCTTTCTTCAAGATATCCAAATAGTTGATTTTCCGTGTCCTCAAACGCTCTTCCAAGTATCGCCATACTGAAAAGTCCAATGGGTTAAGATCCGGACTGTTTGAAGACCACTGATCCTTGGTCAGATTTGATTTCCCTTTGGCGTGAGCGTAGGTGCCAACTAAATGCTTCACTAAATAATCAATGACGAAAATCATTAAAAAAAGAAATCTAGGGCCCAGTGGGAAGCAGCAACCTTTTGATTTTGTCTATTTTAACGATCATTCGATGCAGAATCAAATTTCGCGTCGAATGATACTAAAACCAACTCAAAATCTAATATCCACGAAAAGTTGTTGACTAAAAACGTAAACCCGGCGGGATTTAACGTTTTGCCGTTGGCAATTAGGGTTTTTTTGGGTTTTTCTTAGCACCAAGCCTTTGTTTTTGACTATTTTAACTATGATTCGATGCAGAATCAAATTTCGCATCGAATGATACTAAAACCAACTCAAAATCTAATATCCACGTAAAGTTGTTGGCTAAAAACGTAAAGCTCGCTTATTAAGGGCGGGGTTTAACCGTTGGCAATCGGGTTTTTTTGTGTTTTTCTTAGCACCAACCCCTAAAAAAAGAAATCTAGGGCCCAGTGGGGAAAAAGCTCGAAATTGTGATTGCGACAATGAATGGTTATGAGTGTTTGAATGGATGTTTCGACAATGGAATTGAAATCAAATCAATTGCTGACCATCGTTACACGGGAATTCGGTGTGTTTGAGAAATGAAAATGATGAGAATGATGAGAATGATGAGAACATTTGTAGGAAATGTTGTTCGGAGGATGCGGGCACGAAAATCGTCTCCCAAAAGCACATTGTTCCAATCATCGCCTTCACACGATTCAATCGACAAACGGCTCGCATCACGTATCGTTGGGGTTTATTGGCTTTTACATTTTCCCTTTTCAATCAACAATTTACAGTTGAATCGACTGTTGCTTCGACAGCAACGACAGCGCAGATTCCAGCCACAAAACCAAGCTATTAAAAGAAATTTAAAAGAATAGGAAATGATTGGGATAAAGAAAATAAATTTTTTGAACTTGTCGATTCATTGAGACTGTTTTCTTGGTCAAGAAAACAAGAAAAAGCTCTTTTTTTGATTTCTCTTTGCACTTAGGTGTTCCTATTTGCGCAGATCAAAACCTGCATTTCTCTATCCCTTGCTATTGTCATCCAGTGTTTCCTATCTTCGTTGTTCCTGGTTCGAAGTCTTCGACTTCCTTGTTCTGGTGGTAGTTGCACTTTAGCCATCCTTTCTCTGACGATCTCTGCCACTCTTGTGCTCCACCTCGTTGCTAGTCTTCTGGTCTTCTGGTTGCTGGGCCTCTTCTGGTCTCGTGGTAGCCACTCTGTGATCCGTATCGTCCATCTGTCGTCTGTTCTTCTGGCTTCTGGCTTCTAGCTTCTGGCTTCTATTAGGTTGATGCATAAGTCTTTTCGTTCCTTTTCGTCTGCCGTTTCAAGCCAACAAATGCACCAATTAAACTACGGTTGATTTCATTAGAAGAACCAATTATTTTTCTGCAAAATAACATTAAAACGGGTTTAAAAATATTTAATGCCTGGATTTTCTTGAGAGTATGAAGTCGGGTAGTCAAAAAGGGCTAACTCGATGATGCGGTTTAGACACCTTAGCTAAAGAAAACCTATCTTCGTGTCAATAGATAAAAGATAGAGAAAAAAAGTTTGATATTTCGCCAAAATTTCAGAGAAATTCATTCAGCCAATTTTTCCGTAGAGTTTTTTATAGATTTTTACGAAAAAGGCGTTTTTCACTCTCGAATTTGCTTAAAAGTGAACCGAAATTCATTTAAAAAGATGGAAATTGAACAAAAAAAACACTTTTTTTATAGAGCAAACTATAGATTAATTGGTGAATTTGTTACTTTTTAACAGAAGTACGAAAAAAATGAAAAAGACTTTTGCATCAACCTAATAGCTTCTGGCTTCTGGCCGGCCCATCTGAGTCTTTTTCTCTCGATCACTTCCACTGGATCACTGAGTCCCGAGAGCTGGCGCATATCCGTACTTCTTAGGTATTGGTCGAGCTGCGTCTTCCTATTGTGCCCGAGGAGGTTCCTTTCAAGGGCTCGATGCGTACTCAGTGCTCGTTCGGTGGTCTGTGTCGTGGCCCAGATCTCTGTCCCATAACAGAGTGCTGGGAGGACGGTGCTGTCGAAGAGGTGTGCCCGAGTGCTCTGGTGATTCTTGAGTATCTTTGTGACTTCTTTGATGCTTCCTAGTGCTGTCCAGGCCACTCGTCTTCTTCTGGCAACTTCTGGTCTTAGGTCTCTCTCCATGTTGATGCCTCTGTGTCGTGGCCTAGGTCTCTGTCAAAAGCTCTCTTCTAAACTCAAATTCAAAGCTCAAAGCTAAAAAGGCTTTAAAACAAACTAAAATCGCTTTACTGAGTAGATTTTACGAAAGTATTTTAAGTGTCACAGTGTCTATTGTCAGTTCAACTTTCATTCGGAATTTCTCGATGATTTTGATGGCTTGGGAGTCATCAAATTCATCGAGAAAGGATACTATCGGCTTCACGAGCCGATTCCCGTAAGTAACTCCATCTTGGCGAAACTATGAGTGAATCAGATCCGGATTGAAATAGTTTAGGCAGAAAACAAATACAAGCTGTCGATCTGATCTCAATCTTTTTGTTTCTAGTACCTTTTCAAGCTAGAAGCTAGAAGCTAGAAGCTCAAAGGTAGAAGCTAAAAGCTAAAAGCTCATCCCACTCACTTCTCTAGCTGTTCCAACACTTTATTATTGAATGATTCTCTAATCACACTGATTATATTGATCAAAGGAAAGTTTAACAACAACTGATAATCTTATAAGATCTTCCGCTAAACAACTTTTTCTTTTATTATCAAACTATTCTCAATTTTCATGGAACTTCGATCTCTGCAACGATTTTGAAACAAAAAACCCGTATCTAATGCTTTTTTTTGATAGATTTATTATTGACATTAAAACTTGAATAAAAGAAGAATTGCAATGAGAGTCGAGATCGGGAAAAGCAATGACAATTGATTCGTCGAATTGCACTTCTCTTTATCGCAACAGTAGAGTTTTCCCGTGTCTCCGGCATCGTTTTTCACATTCTTTGTTTCCTCTTTCTAGAACAAACTTTTATTTTCGTTTTTAAAAAAACATTATTTTGTTTATTGTAAATTTATGCAATCACTATAATTTCTACTTATTATATTTTTTTTGGACCAGTTTTTTCAAAACAAATTCCCTTCAACAAGAATCTTTAAGCGCTAAATCTTTCAAAAGCAAGATATAAATGTTGTAAACAACATTTAGAATATAAACATTGGGTTGGTGAATTGAAAACTGCCGGCGATTGTCATATGTGACCGTCTGAGCACTTTCTTCAAAAGAAACCCATTTTGGTGTCAATGGAAAAGTTGTAGAGAATCAAAAATTAAGCTTATATCCAAATTTTCAGAACGATTCAAAAACTGGTTTTCAAGAAATGCCAAATTTATGAATTTTCACAAAACTTGCATTTTAAGCGAAACTACTAAGTGTATCTTTTTGGAAATTTGACTATAAGCCTAATTTTTGATCCTCTACAACTTTTTTATTGACACCAAAATGGGATTCTTTTGAAGAAAGTGCTCAAACTGGGCTGACAGCTGACATCTCCAGTCCTCCATTTTTGAGTCTCAAACTTGTCTCACATACAAACCAAGATCCTACTACGAAAGAGGAATACGCAAATTGCCTGTAAAATGGGCAGAAGTCGTCAATAATAATGGAAATTATTTGGAATGAATTCATGGTTTTATGTTGAATAAATTTTAGTTCAAAGTCCCGCAGTTTTCAATTCACCAACCTAATAGTATCAAATGAAAAGCGCTGGAGCTATCAATACGCGTTTTAGTGTGTCCAAAATGGAGATGATAATTATTTTTTTTGTGTTAAATAGTTAAATATTAAATAAATTGTGTCCCTCGTTAACTCTATTTATCAAAAGAAACATCTATTACTAATAAAGTTCGGCGAGCATCTAAGCTTTTGATTTTTCCACGTTTTCTGGGGTAATCGATGACGCTGATCACGAATTTGATGTTTAGAAAACATGTTTTCAATTCACTTTTCGAGTTATTGACTTGTAAATAACTATAGAGAATTTTAAGTTCCTAAAAATTTCATGTTTTTTAAATGAAAATCGCACATTTTGTATGCAAATCACTCAGAATTAATCAAAAAAATTTACCGTGCACATGTAATCACGACCAGCGATGTCTTTTTCATCACCTCCACAGCCGCATCCCCACACAGAGATCGTGTTTTTTGAGTCCTAAACCAAAAATATTTTCTTTTACTTTTTTTTTGGCATTTATTAAATTAAACTAACAAGCGAAGGTCAAGCGGTCGAGGTGACCAAATGGCATGTTCTATATACTAGACATGTGCACTCGGTCCGGTCCTCGGTTCGATTTTCGGTCTCGGTTCGGCCCGGACCAAGAACGGACCAAAAAATTGGGCTTTGGTCCAGCCCGAACCGAGAGCGGACCGGCTGATACGAACCGAGTGCACACGTCTACTATATACCATTCGATGCAGAATTTCACCCTCGTTCCGAAGATCGTTTCATTTTTTGCTATGCGCTACCCTAGTGTTCGCTCCCCAACTCTTAATTTTTCGGTCTGATCTCGGTCCGGAACTGACCAAAGCCCCAACTTTTTAGTCCGATCTCAGTCCAAGTGGGCAAGGTGGCCAAATGACATGTACTATAGATCAGTCCGTTCTATAGTACATGTCATTTGGCCAGCTTGCCGACTCGATCTCCCCTTGTAAGTTTAATTTGATTGAACGAATGGGCTTGTGTGAGAGTATAAGCAAAACAAGAAGAACAGACAAGTACCAGCCTTGAATTTCCCGGTAATCTTCGCACAATACTTGCAGCCATCCGCACAGTCGATCACCGCTTGCTAAATAAAATTGATTGATCTTGATTTTAAGGAGAATTGATATTCAATTTCAAATTGTTTTTGTATAGCTTACAGCACTCGTCGGTGCCTGTCCATTCCGATTCAAATCGATATAGCATTGGAAGGCCAGGGAAACGCTGAGAAAACCACAGAAAAGAATGAAAGCTTGCATTTTATTCTGAAAAAAAACTGTTTAGAGTAAAAGATTGATAAGTAAAACAGTGAAACGATGAAATTTTGAAAAACGAAACTTTTGTGCTAGGGAAATGACTTAATTCCTCTAATCGGAAAGATAATGAGAAGAATTATATACTAAATTTTAGACTCAACTCTTGTCCAAACGTGTCAATGATCAACTCCAATCTGGGCAACTCCAAGATCAAAATGTGAATCAAAATAATTACACTCAGCTACCGGACTCGAACCGGAGAGCTCTCACCTCTATGCCTTCCAACTCACTACCACTCGACCAACGCTACAACTGGTCACCTCGCGGAAGACAGGGTTGTAATATTGATACAACTTGATACTCCTTACAGAACCTTAAACGCTTATAGCTTTTGAAAGAGCGCTCCGTAGAAAAAAGACAAGCAGTATCATGATCAGTGTGAAATTCTGCGTCAAACGGTGTATGGCTTATGCCATTTGGCTAACTTAATCTGAAACTTGACTTGACTTAATCCGAAACCGCATCCAATCACTAAATTTAGTTAGGATCGTGATCTAGCCCAAGGATCTGTATGATTTGTAGCTAGTCCAGGGCTTAGGCCAAGGCTTAGGCCAAGGCTTAGGCCAAGGCTTAGGCCAAGGCTTAGGCCAAGGTTTAGGCCAAGGCTTAGGCCAAGGCTTAGGCCAAGGCTCAGGCCAAGGCTTAGGCCAAGGCTTAGGCCAAGGCTTAGGCCAAGGCTTAGGCCAAGGCTCAGGCCAAGGCTTAGGCCAAGGCTTAGGCCAAGGCTCAGGCCAAGGCTTAGGCCAAGGCTTAGGCCAAGGCTTAGGCCAAGGCTTAGGCCAAGGCTTAGGCCAAGGTTTGGGCCAGGGCGTCTTCAGGTATGTGTTTGAAATTGAATTGAACAGTTCTGTCCAATTCAATTTCGATTAGATCAAATGTTTTTATTGACTCATTAGTTGACTCATTGACAACAGTGTGATGAATCGTTTTCTCCTTTTGAGTCTTCTTTTCAGTTCGTTTTCGGAAACACATCTTTAACGATTTTGAAACAAAAAACCCGTCTCTAATGCTTTTTTTTGATAGATTTATTATTGACATTAACTTGAAATTTGACACTTGAAAAAAAGAAGAATTGCAATGAGAGTCGAGATCGGGAAAAGCAATGACAATTGATTCGTCGAATTGCACTTCTCTTTATCGCAACAGTAGAGTTTTCCCTTGTCTCCGGCATCGTCTTTCACACTCTGTGTTCCCTTTTTCTAGGACAAATTTTTATTTTCATTTTTTTAAAACATTATTTTCTTTATTGTAAATTTGTGCAAGCACTATAATTTCTACTTATTATATTTTTTTTGGACCAGTTTTTTCAAAACAAAGTCCCTTCAACAAGAATCTATAAGCGCTAAATCTTTCAAAAGCAAGATATCAATGTAAATAACAAAGTAAATAACAAAGTAAATAACATTTAGAATATAAATAGTATCAAATGAAAAGCGCTGGAGCTATCAATATGCGTTTTAGTGTGTCTAAAATTGAGATGATAGTTGTTTTTTTTGTGTTAAATAGTTAAATATTAAATAAATTGCGTCCCTCGTTAACTCTATTTATCAAAAGAAACATCTATTACTAATAAAGTTCGGCGAGCATCTAAGCTTTTGATTTTTCCACGTTTTTTGGGGTAATCGATGACGCTGATCACGAATTTGATGTTTAGAAAACATCTTTTCAATTCACTTTTCGAGTTATTGACTTGTAAATAACTATAGAGAATTTTAAGTTCCTAAAAATTTCATGTTTTCTACATGAAAATCGCACATTTTGTATGCAAAGCACTCAGGATTAATCAAAAAATTTACCGTGCACTTGTAACCGAAAACCCAGGGGAGGTCATATTCACCTCCACAGCCGCATCCCCAAAGAGAGCCCTTGTCTTTTGAGCCCTAAACGAAAAATATTTTCTTTTACTTTTTTTGACATTTATTAAATTAAACTAACAAGGGAAGGTCGAGCAGACAAGGTGGCCAAATGACATGTGCTATATACTAGGCATGTGTACTCGGTCCAGTCCTCGGTCCCGTTTTCGGTCTCGGTCCGGTCCGGACCGAGACCCGACCGAAAAATTGGGCTTTGGCCCGACCCGGACCGAGATCGGACTGAAAAGTTGGGGCTTCGGTCCGGCCCAGACCGAGAACCGACCGACTGATACGAACCGAGTGCACATGTCTTCTGTCTATATATAATTCGACGCAAAATTACACGCTGATTCCGAATATGGTTTCAGTTTTTGCTATGCGCTACCTAACAAAAGTTATATGAGAAGAACGAGATAGTGTTCGCTTCAAACGCTTCATTTTTCGGTTTGATCTCGGTTCGGGCCGGGTCAATGTCCCAACTTTTCAGTCCTATCTCGTTCCGGTCCAGGTGTTCTTTGTACGCGCGTACAATTGCAAGTAGGCTCAAAAAGGCCTTGTAAAACTTGTAAAACTTTAAACTCGTATAACTTTTGATAAGGTAGCGCATAGCAAAAACTGAAACCATATTCAGAATCGGGGGGTAATTTTGCGTCGAATTGTATATAGCAAATGTCGTTTGACCACTTTGCTCACTTGATCTACCCTTGTAAGCTGATTGAACGAATAGGTTTGTGTTAGAGTTTAAGCAAAAAAACAAGAAGAACAGACAAGTACCAGCCTTCAATTTCCCGGTAATCTTCGCACAATACTTGCAGCCATCCGCACAGTCGATCGCAGTTTGCTAAATAAAATTGATTGATCTTGATTTTAAGGAGATTTGATATTCAATTTAAAATTGTTTTTGTATAGCTTACATCACTCGTCGGTGCCTCTCCATTCGGATTCTCATCGACATAGCATTGGAAGGCCAGGGAAACACTGAGAAAACCACAGAAAAGAATGAAAGCTTGCATTTTTTCTGAAAAAAATTGTTTAGAGTAAAATATTGATAAGTAAAACAGTAGAAGAAGTAGATAAAGTCTAAAATTTTAAAGTTTATTTATCAATTTTAAATAAAAATCATCTTCTACCATCGATATTTTCTGTTTTTTAGAAAGTTTTAAACTTAACTTTTCTAGATTTAGGCTAATGTAGCTAATCTAATATAGCTAATCTACTGTAGTTAAGCTACTATAGCTAGTCTACTATGGCTAGTCTACTATGGCTAATCTACTATAGCTAGTCTACTATAGCTAATCTACTACATTTCTATGAAACGTTTAATTTAAGAAATTTTAGTATAAACTTGAAAAAAAATTATGGAGAAATGTCAAACCAAAAAGTACCCTCCTCTCCGATTCAAGAGAAGGTCCAAAAAGGTTTGCTGGACTTAAAATGACACTTTCTCATTTCAATTCAAAACCAACACCTTTGAGTCGTGAATTAATTGCAATTTTATCAATGATTCACCGCCAAGAGAGACACCAAGTTCTTCATAAAATGAAAAACCCATTGTTTTGTGTATTTTAACGCGAATTTTATGCGATCGGAAAGCCTTTGTGATAAAAGATCAAAAAAAATCAAAATTTCATCAAGAGAAGACCAATTTTCATAAAAGTTTGCACTAAAAGTGTCTGCTTATTTTGAAATTGATCCCAAGTTTTCTTCAATTTGAAAATGGTCATTTCGTAAAGGCAAACAAAGTCCAATCATATTGTAGCCTTAGCCAAATTTTAGTGTTAAAATGGATGAAATTTGCGTGAATGCTTTGCCCAATGCTAAGCAAATGATAATTTCAAATTAAAGATCAACTTTAGATTTTGTGTTTAATTGGATTGAAGAGTTCTGTTTAATTGGATTGAACAATTCTGTTTGATTGAATTGAAGAGTTCAGTTCAGTTCAATTCAATTTCAATTAGATCAAATGTTTGTATTGACTCATTACAGAGTGACCATTACCGCAACACAGAAAAGGCCTGGCTTTTAACCAAATTAACCATTAACCAAATTAACCATTAACCAAATTAACCATTAACCAAAGCAACCATTAACCAAAGCAACCATTAACCAAAGCAACCCATCTCGAAAAGTTAACTTAAATATCTTTATTCAACATATAACAGTAACAAATTAACAATTAAATTCAAATTTGCCTCCATCGGCTTTCAGAATGCAAACGTTTGGGAAACGCGTTGACCGTGGCGAGCAAATAGGCATCATCGAGGGTATCCCATGCTTTGATGAGCTTCGAGTTTGAATGGGATACCCATCGAGGGTATCCCACTCAAACTTTCAATATTTTTATGTGGTTTTGCACATGCCCTGGCTTCAAGAACACTCCAGACTGAGTAATCCAATGGGTAGCTGATAGTAATTGAGATTTGTTCTTCTTGTACGGCTTCATTTTCAGCTTTTTCTTGATGATTGTGTTGACGGAGTTTCTCTTCAGACCCATTTTCGGTGCCATTCCTCGAGCCGATTGGTTAGGGTTTAATCTTAGACGATCGCGCACTTTTTTGACATTAGCCGGAGTAACCGCTGTTCGTTTCCGCTCTTCCAGGGCGATCAGCTCAATTGAATTGAACAGTTCTGTTCAATTCAATTTCAAATGTTTTTATTGACTCATTGACAACAGTGTGATGAATCGTTTTCTCCTTTTGAGTCTTCTTTTCAGTTCGTTTTCAAAAACACATCTCGAACGATTTTGAAATAAAAAACCCGTATCTAATGTTTTTTGACAGATTTATTATTGCCATTAATTTGAGACTTGACACTTGAAAAAGAGAAGAATTGCAATGAGAGCTGAGATCGGGAAAAACAATGATCGTCGATTGGCAAATGACGACAATTCATCCGTCAAATTGCACTTCTCTTTATCACAACAGTAGAGTTTTCCCATGTCTCCGGCATCGTCTTTCACACTCCTGGTTCCCTTTTTCTAGAACAAACTTTTAAGTATCTAGAAACTCTTGAAATTGTTATGAGTTCAGTTTTGAATCTTTGTTGGGAAAATTTGTTGGGAAAATTCAAAAACGACTTTGTTTTTTTTTGGTAATTTCAATTATGAAGTCTGTAATTGAATAGACAAGGCATTTCTTTACCCTAAAGTCGCGAGTATAAGTTCTGTTTGGTTTTCGCATGCAAATTGACGGCTGTCTCCGGTGCGGTGTGTCGAGGGTTCGAACCCCGCTGCAGCATAACTTTTTGCTTTTTAAGAACAATAATAGAAGTAAATTTATTGAGGGTTATAGCAATTTCATGCTGTTATTTGTTGCTCTGGGCGTGGCTCGTGCGTGGCTCGGCGCGTCCGCCCTGCTCCTCTCCAGAGGAGACTGACTGAGCACCGGCTCAGTCTTATGGATCCCTCCCTGGCCTCTTCATCCGGCCAAAGTCCACATCGACGGTCGAAAGAGATGCTTTCCGTCTTCGTCAGCGTCAGCGTCTTCTTCAACACTATCGTCTGGATGTATCCATGCACATAACAAATAGCAATGGTGATAGGCTGTCACCCTGTAGTATCCCGCGCTCCAAGAACAATAATAAAAGTTTATATAACGATAAAAATGTATAAAAACCCAACAAAAAGAAATTCAAAGCAATTAAAGCGAATGTAAATTAAGGCAGAGCTTATACTCGGATCAACTTTTACTCGAGACTTTAGGGTAATCTTTTCCAAAAGAAAACTCAAACTTTTTCGTCTTATAACAATGTAAGAACAATGTAAGAACAATAAAATGCAACTACAAGAAGATTAACAATGATATTAACCAGGGAAAAAGAGAAATCGAAAGCAATTAAATGTCTCATTTCCAGGATTTTGCTCTCACAATGGTCAACAAGCGACTTTTTTAGCGATAAAGTGAAATGTTTATCTGTTTATTAGCTTTTCCAGCTAAATTTGGTAACTGATGGCTGGATCCTCACCGCCAAGAGAGACACCAAGTGGTTCATAAAATGAAAACCCCATTGCTTTGTGAATTTTAATCCGGATTTTATGACCATTCCACCTTTGTGATAAGAGATCAAAAAAAAATCAATATTTCATCAAGAGAAGACCAATTTTCATATAATTTTGCACTAAAAGTGGCTGCTTATTTTGAAATTGATCCCAAGTTTTCTTCAATTTGAGAATAGCCGAATGGCCGAATGGCATAAAGGAAAACAAAGCCCAATCATACTGTAGCCTTAGCCACATTTTAGTGTTAAAGTTGATGAAATTTATGTGAATGCTTTGCCCAATGCTAAGCAAATGATCATTTCAAATTAAAGATCACCTTTAGATTTTGTTGAATTGAACAGAACTGTTGAATTGAATTGAACTGTGCAATTCAATTCAATTGAACTGTTCAATTCGATACAATTGAATTGTTCAAATCAATTTCAATTAGATCAAATGTTTTTATTGCCTCATTGACAACAGTGTGTTTATTATTGCCATTAACTTGAGACTTGACAATCGTTTTCTCCTTTTGAGGAGAATCGTTTTCTCCGAAATAAAAAAACCCGTATCTAATGTTTTTAACAGATTTATTATTGCCATTAACTTGAGACTTGACAATTGAAAAAAAGAAGAATTGCAATGAGAGCCGAGATCGGGAAAAGCAATGACAATTGATTCGTCGAATTGCACTTATCTGCATCGCAACAGTAGAGTTTTCCCTTGCCGACGGAATCGTCTTTCAAACTCTTTGTTTCCTTTTTCTAGAACAAACTTTTATTTTCGTTTTTTTAAAAACCTTATTTTCTTCATTATAAATTTGTGCAATCACTATAATTTCTACTTATTATATTTCTTTTTTGGACCAGTTTGTTTAAAAGAAATTCCCTTCAACACCAAGAATTTATAAGCGTTAAATCTTTCAAACGCAAGATATTGGGTTGGTGAATTGAAAACTGCGGGCTATTGTCGTATGTGACAGTTTGAGCACTTTCTTCAAAAAGAAACCCATTTTTGTATCAATGGAAAAGTTGTAGAGAATCAAAAATCAAGCTTATATCCAAATTTTCAGAACGATTCAAAAACTGGTTTTCAAGAAATGCCAAATTTACGAATTTTCACAAAACTTGCAACAAAACCTGCGTTTTAAGCGAAACTACTAACTGTATCTTTTTGGAAATTTGGCTATAAGCCTAATTTTTGATTCTCTACAACTTTTCTATTGACACCAAAATGGATTTCTTTTGAAGAAAGTGCTCAAACTGGGCTGACAGCTGACATCTCCAGTCCTCCATTTCTGAGTCGAACACACAAACCAAAATCTTTCTTAATAGGATTTTGGCAGCACGCCTCCCTCAGTGCCGCTCATCTCTCACGATACAAAAGGAAATGTTAATTATAATTTCCCTCGTTAACTCTATTTATCAAAAAGAAACATCTATTACTAATAAGGTTCGGCAAGCATCTAAGCTTTTGATTTTCCCACGTTTTCTGGGGTAATCGATGACGCTGATCACGAATTTGATGTTTAGAACACACGTTTTCAATTCACTTTTCGAGTTATTGACTTGTAAATAACTATAGAGAATTATAATTTCCTAAAAATCTCATGTTTTTAAAATGAAAATCACACATTTTGTATGCAAATCACTTAGGATTAATCAAAAAAAAATTTACCGTGCACGTGTGACCGGCAGGCGTGGCGATGTCAGAGTCATCACCTCCACAGCCGCATCCCCAACCAGAGAGCGTTTTTTTTGAGCCCTGAACCAAACATATTTTCTTTTACTTTTTCTTTTGACATTTATTAAATTAAACTAATAAGGGAAGGTCAAGCGGGCATGGTGGCCAAATGGCATGTAATATATACTAGACATGTGTACTCGGTCCGGTCCTCGGTTCGGTTTTCAGTCTCGGTCCAGCCCGAACCGAGATCGGACTGAAAAATTGGGGCTTCGGTTCACCCCGGCCTAGATAGGATCAAAAAATTGGGGCTTCGGTCCGGCCCGGACCAAAACCAAATTGTCCAGTCCGGACCAAAACCAAATTTTGTTAGAGTTCAGCAAAAAAAACAAGGAGAACAGACAGACAAGTACCAGCCTTCAATTTCCCGGTAATCTTCGCACAATAATTGCAGCCATCCGCACAGTCGATCGCAGTTTGCTAAATAAAATTGATTGATCTTGATTGCAAGGAGATTTGATTTCCAATTTAAAATTGTTTTTGTATAGCTTACAGCACTCGTCGGTGCCTGTCCATCCGGATTCCCATCGCTATAGCATTGGAAGGCCAGGGAAACGCTGAGAAAACCACAGAAAAGAATGAAAGCCTGCATTTTTTTCTGAAAAAACACTGTTTAGAGTAAAATATTGATAAGTAAAACAGTAGAACAGTAGATAAAGTCTACTATAGCTGATCTACTCTAGCTGATCTACTATAGCTGATCTACTATAGCTAGTCTACTATAGCTGATCTCCTCTAGCTGATCGCCTCTAGCTGATCTACTATAGCTGATCTACTATAGCTGATCTACTATAGCTGATCTACTATAGCTAGTCTGCTATAGCTGATCTACTCTAGCTGATCTACTCTAGTTGATCTACTATAGCTGATCTCCTCTAGCTGATCTCCTCTAGCTGATCTACTATAGCTGATCTACTCTAGTTGATCTACTATAGCTGATGTACTATAGCTGATCTACTCTAGCTAGTCTACTCTAGCTGATCTCCTCTAGCTGATCTCCTCTAGCTGATCTCCTCTAGCTGATCTACTATAGCTGATCTACTATAGCTGATCTACTCTAGCTAGTCTACTATAGCTGATCTACTACATTTCTATGAAACGTTTAATTTAAGAAATTTTAGTATAATTTGAAAAAAAATTATGGAGAAATGTCAGAGCAAAAAGTACCTCTCCGATTCAAGTGAGAATCCAAAATAGTTTGCTGGCTTTAAAATGACACCTTATCATTTCAATTCAAAACCAACACCTTTGAGGGGTGGATTAATTGAAATCGTATCAGTGATTCACCACCAAGAGAGAGACCAAGTGCTTTATAAAATGAAAATCCATTGCTTTGTGTGTTTTAATCCGGATTTTATGCGACCTTTCCTCATTTGTGATAAAAGATCAAAAAAATCAAAATTTCATCAAGAGAAGACCAATTTTCATATAATTTTGCACTCAAAGTGTTTGCTTATTTTGAAATTGATCCCAAGTTTTCTTCAATTTGAAAATAGCCATTCCATAAAGGCAAACAAAGTTCAATCATACTGGCTACAGTATGATTGGGCTTAGCCAAATTTTAGTGTTAAAGTTGATGAAATTCACGTGAATGCTTTGCCCAATGCTAAGCAGATGATCATTTCAAATTAAAGGTCAACTTTAGATTTTGTGTTTAATTGAATCGAACAGTTCTGTTTAATTGAAGCGAATAGTTGAGTTTAATTCAATTCAATGGAGCTTCACTGGGGTCCAACCAATGCCGCTTTTTTGCTGTGTTGTCGTATTGGATCCACTTCTCATCCGACGTAACAATGGAGTCGGTAAACCCACTGTTCTTGGCGCGGTGGATCGATCGATGAATCGATGAATCGCCTTTTGAGTCTTCTTTTCAGTTCGCTTTCGGAAACACATCACGCTGACAACGCTGAAATGAAATAGTGTCATGAAACGTTAGAAATCTGAACTCAGAAATGAACTTGAACTCAGAAATCAGACTGATGAACTCAGAAACTTGACAAGTTTTGATGTTTTGAGTAATAGTTTTCAAGTCAGTTCACAGACTAGCGACAGAAGCTGAAATTGTCAATTATAGAGTGTTTGTCCTTTCAAGTAATACCATTCTAACCTCTTTTCTTGCTAATTTCAAGTTATTCAGTTTATTTTTGATTGAATACCTTGAAATTCGATAAGAACAAGACTGTTGTTCTTATCTTTTTAGAAAGTCGCAGAGAAAGAAAGATTTGAAGTCAGATTTGCAATCCAAAACTCGATTTGCTAAGATTTAAAAAGTGGACGTTTGTTCAATAGAAAAGCTTTCAGATCGTGACTTTCTTGAATGACGCTTTCACTCTGTTCGATGAGATCATCATTTCGATCGATTGAGTGAAGATATCGAAATAGATCACTGTTTCGGATTCAGCTAAATAGAATCGAATGTTATTTAGCTATTCTAAATGTAACTGTTCCCTTTAAATACCCTATCTTGTTCAGTTTTTTGTGCTGAATCCGAATCAGCAATCGATTTTCCGATATCTTCACTCAATCAATGAGAGATTCACTTTTTAGATCGTATGCAAATTCTATTTTTTAATGTTAAGTGACTGACTAACTGACTGACTGACTGACTGACTGACTGACTGACGAGCCGCTCGGAAGAGGAAATGCTAGGAAGAGCTCGTTGAGGACAGAAGAAGCTCGTTTTGGAAGATCAAAGATTATTTGAAATACCGTCTCAACATGTATTCGAAAGCATACGTCTCCAAATTGAAATGGGACGCTTGCCGGAAGTTGTCATCTGAATTTTGGCTGAAAGGTTTCCACCGACTGGTAATGACCATTTAAAAGCAAGGTTAGATAAAAAGTTACTCTTGAAATCTCTTCAAACTTTCGATTCACATGACTCAAAACAACAATGATAATAATAAGAACCATTTTTAGTTAAACGTGGGTTGAATATGGGCGTTGAAACCGGCAAAAGCGTGAACCAGGCACACTATCGCTGTCCGATCGAGCCGCTACGTTGCTCCGACAAAGGCAGCCCACATCGGCGCGAAAATGCGTTTTCTATCGGATTTTTCTGAGAGTACCTTTTTTAGATGCGAAAAATTGTGCTGATTCCGAATCTGAAGGAATTTTCCAAATCCCTCTGACGTTTTAGCGGTTTTTTGGTCATTTTGTATGGGAAATTTTGTGGTACCCTGCAGTTTGGAGCTCGTAACTCGACAACGAGGGTCTACAACCAAAAACGAATGGATACGTTTTATTCTAGAGACTCTTACGAGCATTTTGATGCAAAAATCATCAAATTTGCTCAACTCTACAAAAAGTTATAACATTTTTTAAAAAAGAAATGAGAAAATCTAAAAAATTTCTTTAAAGATGTTATAACTTTTTGTAGAGTTGAGCAAATTTGATGATTTTTGCATCAAAATGCTCGTAAGAGTCTCTAGAATAAAACGTATCCCTTCGTTTTTGGTTCTAGACCCTCGTTGTCGAGTTACGAGCCCCAAACTGCAGGGTGCCACAAAATTTCCCATACAAAACGACCAAAAAACCGCTAAAACTAAATTTAAAAAATTTCTGTCAGAGGGATTTGAAAAATTCCTTCAGATTCGGAATCAGCACAATTTTCCGCACCTAAAAAGGTACTCCCAGAAAAATCCGATAGAAAACGCATTTTTGCCTTATTTCGCGCCGATGTGCAGCCGGTAAATTTCAAAATTCAAACGTTTTTACAGAAATCTAGAGCGTTTGGGTAAAAACTAAGAACTCCATCGTGTTTCCGGTAAAGAAATATTCTTTGCGTGCTTGGTACTCTTCACTCAAGCCACTTTATTTCTTGTTTCGAGATGATCTGATCTCACTTGAACACTTTAATCAATAGACACTTTCAATAGACACTTCAATAGCCTGACTCGGAATTTTTGGGCTCTCACTTGAGCAATCTTCACACAAAATCGACAATTGAATTAAAAGCGACGATAAAAACAGAAACAATTTCGTCAAAATTATGACAAAACTTTCACACGATGAAAGGAAAATAGAAAAAGGTAAAAACAATTCAAATGAACAGCAGTTGCCTTTTGTAAGCTTTAACAAAAGATATTCAGCTAACAAGCTACAAAACAATAAATGATTTGGCGAAATAGAATGAAGGCGCACGGATTTCCGCAATACTTTTCCAATTTTTAGGCTGTCAGAGTTAGGTAACTTTTAGTGGCTATTCGCCACAGGTATCCAACTTGCCATAAAGCTTTGGTAGTCATACAGCTTTGGTTCGAATTCGCCCTTTCAAAATTTGATCATTCTCTAGTCAGAAAAAAGGGGAGGTAGTCAAATGAGCGCCAACAATTGGGCGCCAATCATTTCAGCGCCAACGATTTGGCTCACGCTTATTTCAGCGCCACTCATTTGAGCGCCGTGCCAAAAATGACTGGAAAACAATCATTTGAGCGCCAAATTAAAAAGGTCTAAAAACGTTCATTTAAGCGCCGGGCCAAAAATGACTGGAAAACGTTCATTTCAGCGCGACTAAATTTTAATATTTTTGCTTTCTACGCTGCTTTTGCATGTTTTTTAGGGTTTTGCTTCTGTTTTTACACTTTTTTTTCACTCATTTGACTTAGGGCACGGTAGTAGGCATCAAATGCGCGGAAAAAAATTGTTAGATTAGCTCGTATTTAAGGTTTTTTTGATGAAAATGTGTAAATTTGCTAGTTGTATGATATTTTCCCCCAATAGCATGCTTTTTCACCGTTTCTTGCCGTTTTCGTTTACAATTTGCTTACAGTTAACATAGTTCTTTGCTTAGGCTCGTGAACTGCGCAAGAAGTGGCGAGACAAAGGAACACTCTGAGTCAAAGTAACGTTTTGTTCATGATTTATTTTGGTTTATTTTGCTGCCAAGAATTATTTTTATCTTTAGATGATTTAGATAAAAACATACAGTAAAAACTTTGAGATCATGCAGAAAATGCAAAAATAACATGCATATACAGAATGGGCTGATTCGGCGCTGAAATGAATGTTTTCCAGTCATTTTTGGTGCGGCGCTGAAATGAACGCGCGCTAAAATGAACGCGCGCTGAAATGATTGGCGCTGAAATGATTGGCGCTCAATTTTTGGCGCTCATTTGACTACCTCCCGAAAAAAGGAGAGTGGTCAGAGAAAAAGGAGAGCCATTTCATTCTCATTCAACAATTTCTGAACATCTTTCGACTGATGTTTGAAATCGTTGTCATCCTGATACACAAAATTATTTGCATCACTTTGTGAGCATGTCAGAATTTGTGAGCGCTCTTTGAATGAACTTTTTCAAAAAGACTTTGTAATGGTCAATCTGGTGGGGCGAAATTGAGCTGCGAACTCTGCGTGAATGCTTCCCTGATCTCTTCATTTGATGATTGCTTATTGAACGCTTTAATCCAAATCTTTCTTTCCTTTTCTAGTTATCGCCTTTAACCCATTCGAAACCGCAGCGTTTTTTCTTTTTTTTCGTCTACGGACCAAGCCCTTTTTTGACATTTTTGGCTCCGAAGCAGTTTATTTATGGTTGGAAAGATGTAAGAGAGCCTCCTACACCATTTATTTTTGATGAAGAACGATTTGGA